ATGCAGGAAAATTAAGTGCATGTTCCTAAGTGAAAGAAGTGGAAGTAAAGGCTATAAACCACATAGATCTACCTATTTGACATTCTGGAAAAAGCAAACCTATGGGGATCATAAAACATTTAGTGGTCACCAGGGTTTGGGGTGGGGTGTACGAAACAGAACAGAGTTTTAGGGCAATGAAACTATTTTGTAAAATAACACACAGAGGTCACATCATAATACGTCTGTCAAAACCTTTACCATGGGCAGGGGATGTAGCTCAGTGGCGTAAATGCCTGCCTGGCAAGCACAAGGTCCTGAGTTCGATTCATGGTACCAAAAAAAAAAAAAACCCTTAGCATATAAACTACCAAAGTGAACTTAATATACACTATGATCATGATGTGTCAGTGTGGGTACACTGACAGGAACAAATGTACCATTCTGGTACAGGATATTGTCGGGGGAGTAGCTGTGCCTATGGGGGGATGGGGGTACACAAAAACGCTGTTCTTTCCCTCTCATTTCTTCTGTGGGCCTAAAACTGCTCTAAGAAAATAAAATTCATTCATAAAAATACTCTACTATATATTTAATATATAATTTTTAATATAAAACTGGTATATACAGGTTTCGGAATAAATACAACTGACTTCAATATGCACACAGATTTAACTGGAGGAAGTGGAAGGACAAAGGCTTGCTAGTCCACCAGCTGTGAACACTGAGCTAAGAACATTCAGTAGGCCGTGGGCATCCATCAATATGTTTTACAGCAGGAATGAGAACACTGGCTAATCCCACCAGGCAGTCAACTCAGGCTCAGTTAAGTGAAATTCAGTTAAGAACTCTTTCACTGTAGGGTTTTAAATGGGAGATGAGAGGTAATTCTGGAATAAGTACAATACTCACTTGAGGTGGGGGGCTGGAATGGGGCACCAATTAGTGTGTAAGTCTCCTGAAGTGATGCTTCAAGAGATGGGCATAAGGAAGTGTGTGTTTGGTTGGTGGCTGGGCAGAAAATAGGATTCTTTATTCTTAGAATTTACAGTTCAGGCTCCTGTAACTATGACTATTACTGATTTTTTTAAATGTTAGTAGGCTACCTTAGGAACTAAACTATAGGGAAAGTGATCCACTCAAACCTTTATCAGGTATCTAGGAATCTTCTATGCACTGGGGACACAGCAGTGATTAAAACAAACAATTCCTACCTTCATGGAGCTCATGGGACAGACAAAAACAACATAATGATATATACTGATAAGCACTAAGAAAAAAATAGACCATGGAAAAGAGGTTAGGGAGTTCAAGGGAAAGGGGTGTCTGTAATTTTATATACAGATGCCAAGAAAGGGCTCATAGAGGGGACTTTTTCAGGAAGAGTCAAAGGAGACACAAGAGGGAACTGTGCATCTATGTAGGGAAAGAGTAATACAAGCAGGGGAACAAGTAGTAAGAAGACTATGCCAGGTGTGACCAAAGGAGGTGGCGAAAGGGTTAGACCATGCTAGTGACAAAGCAGTAGTTTGAGAGCTAAGTGGGGTACCAGACCATGTAAGGTTCTGTAGATTTTATTAAGGATTTTGGCTTTTTGAGATTGGAAGGTATGAGAATACTTTTGAGAACTGGGTAAGGCACGGAATCTAGTATTTTAATACAATCACTGTAGTTGCTGCTTTGAGAAGAGACTGACAGGTGGACAGGAAAAAAGGGTGGAAGTAAGGAGATCATGCAGGGAACTCCTACAGTTACCCAGTTGAGACATGATGGCAACTTAAGGGCAGAGTAGTAGTGGAGTGGTAAGAAGCAGTCAGATTCTCAACACATTTGGAAGGCAGAGGTAATCTAAGTTCACCTCTAGCCTTTATCTGCTTTTGGTAGTCTTATAATCTGCTTAGTTAGAAAGGGTGGGCTACACTGAACATAAACTAGTGACTTGGCAAAAGCTAATATGGTGAATTTTTTCACCACGCACACAGAAAAACCTCAAAGGAAAAAAAAGTAAGTCTAGCTTCCATCCAATGAAATGCCTGTAGATTATACATTACAACAATGAACATCTAGCAAGCCAGGTGTGGTGGTACACACCTATAAACTCAGCATTGGGGAGGCTGAGGCAGGAGGATCCTGGCGAGTTTGAGGCCAGCCTGGGCTAAAAGTGAGCTCAAGGCCAGCGTGAACTGCATAGCAAGACCCTGTCTCAAAAAGACAAAAAACAAACAAACAAAACAAAAAACCCCCCCAAAACAACAAAAAAGCCCAAACGATGAGCATCTGTTGATCACCTTCACTAAGCAATCAACACAGGGCTTGGGACTGGAAATTGCTGTGCAAACCTGTAATCCCGATACTCTCAGAAGCTGAGGCAGGAGGATCTAAGGTTGAGCCCACCTTGGATAATTTAGTAATTTAGCAAGATCTTGCCTCAAAATAAAAAATTAAAAAAAAAGTTGGGGATGTAGGTTCTGGACTTAATCTTCAGTACTGCAGTGACAAAAAAAAAGAAGACTGCTTGGTGTCAAGCGATGTTAGCTTTGCTTTTACAGAATTTTAGAGTCCGTTATGCTTGATCAGGAAATAATGTCCTCAAAAAAACAAGAGGGAAAAAGAGGTCAGCAATAGAAACAAACATGACCTTTCCATCTCTGTACACAATTTTTTTGAAGTAAGTTTTGCAAACTTCTAAATCAGGTGCGTTCTTAAATTCACAGATGTACTAGAGCATCAAAAGGAACTGTGCACTATTTAGATTTCTTTCTAAACAGCTGGATCACTGTACATGCCTTTTTGTCCTCAATGGAACCCTGGAGAACTGTCACTATTAGGACACAAAGTGTACTGTGAGGGAAAAAATTCACAAAAGGAAAGCATCCAGAAACAAAACAGTATTTTGTATCAGTTTTATATAAGCCACTGTGATAGCAAAGGGCAAATAAAAAGCACTTCTCTTCTGCCAAAGCAAAAGTTGTCACTTTACAAGAAGCATGGTGTCTTTTAAGGTCACACCACCTACTTGGCTGTTTCATGGTGCCTGTTGGTCCCAAGCTGCCCTTCTTACACAGGCTATCTATTGAAGCACTGCTTTTATTATTAGCAAACAGAGATGAAGGCCCAAGTAAGACAGCATGGGCCAGTGCCTCCACTGAGTGTTAAAGTCATCCAATAATATCTGGCACTATTCACCAGTGTAGGGTACTTTCCCATTTCTAGGACACTGGAGTACCGTGAAGCAGTAACAAGGCACGTGTGAATGGGGGAGGCCATGGGTACACAAAAAGGCATTTTCAATGTATTTGACTTTATATTAGAAAAAAAGAACCAAGCTTGTTCTAATCATACAAAGTACAAATGGTTAATTTTCTTGAGGGGTGAAGATATGTATATTTTTCACTCCCTTTTTGGTGATTCTAATGGAGTTTCTCAGAATAGGGGAATTTAAATTTATCAAGGCATGTAAACTTTTTAAAAAGCTGAAAAATAATGTTTTTCAGGCTGTATTTTATGTCATTATGCTAGGTATCAAAAATATAGGAGTAAGATAAAAATAACAACAATCAACTCCTGTCCTTTTAAAGTTCAGAATCTAGTTAGAGACAAATAGCTAAAAAGTGGGTGGAAAGGCCATAGTGTATAAAGGTATATATTCATTTAAATATATGAGAAAAACAGGGATGAGCTTCAGATGAGCTGTAAAAGTGAGGCAACCAGCTAACTGCTAATTATCATAATAAATTCACGGAGGCCCTGGAAGGAAACAGAAAACAACAGCTGAGTAAACACCTGACAAGGAAGTCAGCACAGGGTACTTAAATGTTTGGAAATCCAGTCTTATACCAAGGCAGAGAGATGCAAACCATATGACTCAGGGCTGGAGCCTCAGGAAAGCAATATACAAGAAATGAGAAGCGAGAGACATGTTTATTATCTGGACTCAAACAAAAAATTATCAGTTCGCAGTTCTAGGGCAAGGGTCTTTATTGGGTCAAGGAACACAGCTTTATCTGCTTACATCTCACACCATTCTTTAGCTCAAACCTGCAGCTGCAAAACAACACTGAAGAAAGGTGGGAAGAATGTTTCTTTCTTTTATAGGCAATAAATCCTAAATCTTTTACCATTTCAAGAGCCAATGAAAACTGCAGGCAAAGGAGAACATACTTGGAAAAAAATTTATAAAAACTATAGCACAGTAAAGGGAAATGGATACCACCAAGATGTTCATTTTCATCAACGGACTTACAAATTAAATTCTCTTTAAAAGAGAAATAGAAGACACAGGGTAGTAGGGGAATTTCCTCAGCCACAAATGGAAAACAAAAAGAAAATACTGATCTCTACTACTACGAATTGTAAAGTGAAATCCAGAGCTCTCACCAAACAAAAAAGGCATCACTGTAATATGCTTAGCAGTTTAAAATGACAGACTTAGAAATGCATTTTGCTATAAATTTTGCTTTTGAATTCTAAAGCAGACAATGTTCAGGACTTGGGAAAGTTACTGAATAAACATAAAATTCAAATTTGACATATGTAAAGCTTTTGATGACCAGTTTCCTAGAAACACTTCTCTTGTAATAACTTACCCAATATGATGTCAACATTCACACTAAGCCCACTGTGCCAATCAGCGCAAATGTTTTTTTATGTAACATCTCTGATTTATGAGCTTCTGATTTTAAAAAGTTAAAAACCATATTAGCTGTTTTTTAATAGAATAGTAACCTAACCAGAACAATTAAATCACTTCAAGATTCTTGATGTTTTGTGTATTTACTAAATCTTGCAAAATCAGTATTTTTAGATTGATCTGTTGCCTTTCAAAGGAAGGTTCACTGAATTCCACTAGTTAGGACTAGGTTCCAGGAAATAAGAATGTGCAGAATAAGGGGCTGGTGATGTGGCTCAGTGACAGAGCAAATGCCTAGACGTACAAGTCCCTGGAGCCATCCTCAACACTGAAAAAAAAAAAGTTACAGAACAAATTGTTTTGCTCTTTTTTCTACATTAAATGCACTCACCTGCCTGTGTCACCATGTACTTTTGTCAGGAGCAGAAATCTACTATGGTACCAAGTAGAGGCTTAAATGATTATCTGCTTTTCATACCCTCATTTGTAAAATGGGGCTACGATCTACTTCAAAAGGGTAGTGTGAGGATCAAATAAAATATTTCTCTACATGTTCTGTAAACAAGAAAAGAACATGAAAGCTATTTTTACTGACTGTTACAAGGTTTCTAATGAAATATTTATAAGGAAATCTATTATACTGTATATGTGTATTAAAAGAAAAGATATATTAAAGAAAGATTGGAAGGAAACACCAAGATAGTCAAAGTAGTTGTGTCAGGTTGGTATAATTATGAATAATTACTTTCAAGAGTTCGTTTTAGCTACTTTCAGTTACATGGTTACATTAAAAGAAGTAAAGAATCAGACTTCTGCTGGGCATGGTAGTGCAGGCCTATAATCTCAGTTACTCAGGAAGCTGAGACAGTAGGATCCCAAGTTTGAGGTTAGCCTGGGCAACTTAGCAAAAGCTTGTCTTAAAATAAAAAAAGGTCTGAGGATACAGGTGTGTAGAAGGGCATCTGCCTAGCATGAATGGCTCAATGCTCAATACAGAACTGCCAAAAATAAAAAATTGACAGACTTTTAAAATTAATTTCTTATACAGTATATAAAAACATTTAAAAAATATGACTGGCTTTACATAAAAGCTAAAATTTTCTTTACCTAGATTCTTCCCATTTCTCCGTCCAAAAACAAAACAAACAAAACAAATGCAATACAACACACCAATGGAGGAGTCTCTAGCTGATTGCTGAATGAAGCCTTACTGATAAATTTCTAGCCAGGCAGTCTGTCCGTCTGTCTCTGCATATTCAGCTCTACAAGGCAGCACAGAGTTAATCTGTGTAGCACGGACAATGTGAAGGCACATGACAATGTGAGGGCATAGTTTATAAACATCACATTTTCCATTAAAAATTCACTTAAATTCTGCATTTAATTTTATAAAGCAGTGTTTATTTTAATATAAAAACTGATGTTAAATTACAGTAGGCCAGGAAACTGACAGGTAGTTGATAAATTTCCACAACAAGGGATGGAAAGTGTTGTTACTTCTTATCCCATCTCTACTGTACACCAACAGAATGACAAATTCCTATTTTTGGTTAAACATATACACTAAACTATATGCTGTTAACTTTCTAGATAAAATTATATGAAAATATGCTGAAATTATCATACAACATTCTATTTAATTATGAGAAAACAAACCATGACACTGAGCCTGGCATTACCTTAAAAGGTTTAATTTTGAAAATTACAATATATCTAAGGTTGATAAATGTATATTCTTATGTTACTAAAAGGAAAAATAATAAGCTTTTTATAAACAGGCTGCAATTTCGCTTCTTGCTAATATACCTTTAGACAAATCTCAAATGTAACATACTTGATTCATCTCTAGCTCCACTGCCATCTGCCTTTAGAAATCTGACTTCAAATTGTCTTACCTGAAAAAGAACAGCTATCAGTTCTCTTAAGCTCCTCATTACAAAGCTTTTCCACAGAACAGTCTTCTCTGGAGTCATTTATCCTTGCTACAAAGCCTGTCCAAGTACATATCTAATTTGGCTCTGGGTATTTACTAATGTTAGAATATCTGAAAGACAAAACTGATATACTACAATCAAGATGTAGCAATGTGAGCTTCGAGGGGGAAAAAACATAATTATACATTCCTACACAATTCACTCAAAATGCAGGAAGAAAAACAAGCACTTCTAATTTTTGGTAAAGGATTATGTGGAATATAAACTATAAGAAGGCAACCTGAGGTGGTAGGAAGAGGTCTCACTGAGGTCAAGAAATCTGATTGAGTTCAGGCTATGCCACTAACTAGCTGTGGCTTTCTGGGAACACTAAGCTGATCTAGCCCGAGGTTCTCTGTTAATGAAGAACAAATCAATTCTAAATTTGTTTACGTATGTCAGAATATACAAAGTATCATAACAGTACATTTAATTTAATGATATGAACTAGACATACTTTTACAAACTAGCAGAAAATAGGATATTAAAATAAAAAACAAAACATGACCATGAACATATATGAACACACAGAGTTTTTAAAGCATGATACACATTTCCGAATTTTACAGTATCAGGGTTGAACCCAGGGCCTCTGCACTGAGCTACAGCCCCACTCCTTTTTATTTATTTTGAGATAGGGTCTTGGAAAATTCTCTATGCTGGCCTTGAACTTGTGATCCTTCTGCCTCAATCTCCTAGACTGCTGGGATTATAGGCATGTGTACCACACCCAGCTTGAATTCTTCTATTCATATATATTTGCTTAGTTAATATTAAATACTCTATAAAGTCAGACTGCCTGGATCCAAATCCCATTCTTTTATTTATTAGGTGGAGAACTTGGGCAAGTTAGTCTTGGAAGTGAAGTTTTCTCATCTGTGAGGACATGGATGGTATATACTGTATCAGTGATGGGGAACCTTTTAGAGCTTTCAATGATGATAAACAGATGGCTGCAGCAGGCATGCCATAGGTTTGCCACCACTGGTATGTATATATAGGACCACAGGAGTTATCTAAAGAGGTAATCCACATATATGTAGTAGTATGTTGACATCACATAGTATAAATATAATAATAGTAATAATAATATCACTAATAGTAGCAAACATTCTTTACTAAGTACCAGGCACACTATATAAGAGTCTTACATGTATTATCCTGTTAATTCTCACAACCACCACCATATGAGGTACAGACTATCATTAGTACCTATTTTATAGTGACAAACTGACCCACAGAGAGGTGACTCCCAGTGTTTACTGTGACAATCACATGGTTGTTCATCAATATTTTTAGCTGTCTTTTTAGGAACACAGTGTTGCACTTCCTCAGTGACTCTGAGATTAGGCAAGCCCACATAACTCATCCAGTCAACGAATGTAAATGACATACAATTCTAGTGGGTAGAAAATGTGACTCTATAAACAATTTGCTATGCTCTCCTCCTGCAATATAGTGGTTATGCTAGTATATATTATGATGAAGTTTATGTCAGCCTGGTTGCCTAAGTGACAAAAATAGCACAGTCTTCTACTGACCCACTATGGATAAGTGGCATAAATAAGACAAAACCAAACACAAACACAGATTTTGTGGCTGCTTATTACCATAGCAACAATGTAGCCTATTCTAACCTTCATAGTTAAAATTTGCTATTTAGTATCATCATCTACTCATTCATAGGTACTACCAAAAGTTTAATAAGAAATTAGAGAAACAGTATGAATTTATCTATTTATTTCTTTGTGTGTGTGAACCAATGAAAGTTTGTCATTGTCTAACAGTGCTACAAATTATGAATTATTGTCTAAGTATCTTTATGACCTTGGGTTAGGCAAAGACTCCTGAAAGAACACAGAGCGCTAACCACAAAAGAGAAAAATGGTAAGTAGGAGTTTACCAAAATCAAGAATCTGTTCAACAAAAAAGTATGAACAGGTAAACCACAGACTGAAAAGTTACATCTGCAACATAAGACACCCAGCAAAACCAGAATGTACAGAGAACTACAAATCAGTAAGATAAATGTCCCAATTTTTAAAAAGGACTACATACAAAGCAAGTACTTCATAAAACAGATTGTTCAAATGATTAACAACCATAGAAAGAGAGGCTACCACACACTCATGAGAATGTCTAAAATAAAAAAGAATGACAATAACACAGTGTTGGCAAAGATGAGCAGAAACTGAAATTGCCCCATGTTGTTACTGGTAAATGGCTCAATAACTTTGGAACACTGTTAGCAATACCTGCTAAAAGATACCTATTTTATGAATCAGCAGTTCCATTCCTATCCACTTAATAGTTTACCCTGAGTGTCACTTGACCAGTGCATTTGTTTGCATACTGACTATCCTAAGCATTGCTCGGGCAGGTATCATTTCAACCAATTGATTTGTGTATTGAATTTGTCATTTTTATATTTCCTACTATATTACCTTAAAAAATGCTATTTTTGGTCATCTTGTATTTAAATAATTGGACTGGTAAGTGCTTAATAATATAACCTAGAGTAATGAGTGCCAATGCTCAACAAAGATGTATGAAAATGTTCATGGTAGTTTTTATTACTACACCCTCAAAGTGGATGTTTCTATCAACAACAGCATGGACACATTATGATAGTCTTCAAATGAAATCAGTGCAATACTACACAGACTGACTAATGCTACATGCAACATGGACAAATTTCTGAGACTTAATTATGAGCAAAAGAAAGCCCGATCCCAGAGAGTAAATATTCTGTGAACCTACTATACATATGAAGTTCACAACAAGTAAAATCTCTCTATGGTGCTAGAAACCAGAATAATGGTTACTTATGGTGGTGGGAGGTGGGGGAGGAGAGAGAGAACACAAACTGACCGAAGAGTCTCTTGAAGTCAAAAATATTCAAAGTTGAATTTATGCATGCAAACATTCACTGATCTGTATAATGAGTTTGTAGATTTTTGTACTTTAATGTATATGCCACAGTTTTAAAAAGTTGGAGGGAAAGAAGCATTCAGATAAGAATTCCAGGATTAGAAGATCCCACAAAGATTAGTGGGTCTAACCACACACTGAGGGCTCAGCTCCAACCTAAGTATCTCTTTCCAAACCTTTCTTTTGTAATGAACTCCAAACCTAGCCCGCAGGAGCTTCTCTTGATAGGGTCTCATTTTACCTTCTTGGTGAATGTGTTCCCTCTTCTATGTATATCCCCTCAATTATCCCAAGATTGACCTAATGACTATAAGATTCCTTTCAGCTTCTAAAAAATTTTCTAAAAGATTCCAGGATTCTGTACTCTTATGAACATACGTTTCATTTGCTGCTTTCTTTACATCTGTATTCAACTTTACTCTTTCAAGTAGTGTTTCAAATTTAATAGATTTGTAATAATTTAATAATATAATAAATAATAATTTAATAGCTTGTAGATTTTCACTCAAAATAGAAATATGTCAACATTTACAACTGGACAAATGTATGCTTTGTATAATTCTGTATGCTTCAAGATCACAAAGAAAAATCACTCACTACTTAACACTACTACTCACTACTTAATTCTAAACTCACTACTTAATTCTCTACTCACTCTTAACTCACTACTTAATTCTAAAATTA